CCCCAGCCCTTCCACAGGCAAGGCAAGGGGCCTCTAGATGGCAATGTTTCTGTTCAGGAGGCCAGCAGCTGCTTCTCAGGCGAGCTCTACCGTTCCCTTTCGTGCCAGACTTTGGAGAAGCTCCGAGATTAACTCCAAGCTGAAGTGGACAGCTTAGCACCCCACTGCCTCTTATCGCTTCCTCAGTGAAAGTGGCTGGGATTTTGTGACCTCAGGGGACCAGTTCTAGCAGGCTGGACAGTAGTTGTCTGGCTGTCCTTCCCCTCCACGTGATGAAATTGGCTTGGGCTTGATCATTTGGAAAACTGCCTGTTGGTCTGGGAGGTACCAGGGGTTTTGGAGGTGATGGGAGTCCCTTGGTGTGACTGGGAGCTGCTGGTAAAGGGCTTAGTGTTGTTGATGCTCAGCTGGTTTCCCATGTGTGCTTGGGGATGCTGACAGAAAAGCCTGCTCCTCCCAGCGTGTGGAAACAGGGCCTTGTCTTTGGCTGGAGGAGAGCTGGGAGCTTAGGGAAGGAAAATGTTGCTGGAGAAAGGACTGTAATTGCTCCTGTACACTTGGAGCTGTCACTTGCTACCTCCTTCCTCCCTGTAACGAGCACTGCTCAGTGCCTGAGTGAGGGGGATGCTGGGCTTAGTACCCTCCTCCTTTCCCAGGGCTTCTGCCGTGATGCTGGATGGACACCATGCCTCAGGGCCTGCATTTATCTTCTCTCTGGGATGCCAATGTGACAGGTACTTTCCTTGTCCATCAGTGTCAAGGGAGAAAGGATGGAGGGAGCCAGAAGGCTGCTGTCCCTCACTGGCTGCACTGACAGCCTTGCTTCAAGCTTGGGACTGAGCTCACTTGGCTTCTCCTGACCACATTTTATCGTGGATTCAACCCACTTGTGGTCAAGGAGAGGAAAAGAGAGCCAGGGATGTCTTCCTGCCTCTGGGCACTGTGAAATGCAGCACATGTAGACTGGAATCTTGTAACTCTCCCCTCTTACACCCCTTCCTGGGAGCTGGCAACAAAATCCAGCCCCTTGCCAAGGTTCCCTGGAGAGCCAAGCAGGGTGGAAGGCAAGAACCATACTCAGGAAAGGTCTGAGCAAGAGATCAGGCCACCTGTTTGTACGTGCTGTGGCTCCCTGGAGTTTTATGAATCCATGTATACCCTCACCTTGTGAGGACTAGGTTTGGTTTGTAGACCAGAAATAGAGGCTGGACCCAGATCTTGCTTGCACTGGTGTGGTGGTAACAGCTGACCTGGGATCTGAGGCCATCTCCTCTTCAGCTTCATGGTGGTTTGAGCTGATTCCTACTGCTTCAGCCAAGGGAAGTGTTGAGATGTGTGTCACAGTGTTTCCTACCTGCATGGCAAGGGTGGGAGTAGCAAGCCCTGCTCCTGAAGCTCTCCTCTTGCTCTCTATCCCTTCCCTTTCCCCTGTGCCTGCCAGGCCTGGCTCCCCCAGCCTGGCTCCTCACCCAGGGCTGCTCATGCTTCTCTTTGCCAGCACTAGAGCTGGTCCTGAGCAGTGGAATGATTCTGGTGCTGCAGAGTGTGGAATGGGTACGGGGTTTCAGGAGCTACAGGAGATGCTGATCGTTTCCTAGCTCTGCCACAGCAGAGGAGAAATCATTCCTATCTCCCTGTGCATCATTTCCCTCTGTATAAACCAGACAGTGATCCTTTTCTTGCCTCCTTGAATTGATGCCAAAGGAGAGAGGCTGGCTCCTCCTTGCTTTTCCCCCAGCATGGATAAGTCTCTTTGGAGTTGGCATGCCTCTGCCAGGGCTCTCCAATCCAGGAGACTTTAGACCCTGGCTTTCCAGGAGCTGCCTGTCTCAGCCTCTCCGTGCACTCCAGGCCATGGGAGAGCTCACTCCCTGCTCCAGCCTATGCAGAAGATTTCTCCGCCAGTCCTGCACCTGCAGCCTGGGAAAATGGCTCCAGTCATGCTGCAGCGGGCATGGCCAATTGATTATAAGCGGTCATAGATTACCTGGAGCAATGCTATTAAATTTAATACAGTTCTGCACCGGCTCTGGGGGCTCAGCCTTGGGTTGTGTAAGTGACATCTTGTTGCAAAGCATTTTGGGGACATCGCTTAGGGGCGCGAGGCAGAGACAGTCAGCTGCAAAGAGCGGGAGAAGATGATGAGTTTCTGTAGAGATTTATTTCCTGCCCAATAATTGCCCAGAAAAGGCTGTGTAAACCTTCTCTGTTTGTGGAACAAACACTGCAAGAGTTACTGCTCTGACCTTTTTTTTTTTCTTTTCCACTGGACAATTGTCTGTGCCCTTGGTGTTCCGGAGCCTTGATATGCTGCTGGCAGATTTATGCCATGTTGAAGCCCACTTCTTATTGCCTTAGAGTTGATTGGAAGAAAGGAGACTTGTTTGCTGACAAATAAACCCGCTGCCATGCGCCCTGCATGCCAAGCTGGGGTTGAAGTTTAGAAGTCCTCTTTTCCATGTCAGCTCTTTGTCTCCTGTCACTGTGTCAGCTGTGAGAGGTGAGGGACCAGTTCTGAAGAGGATCACCACTGGATTTAGGCAGGACTGAGATACCTAATGAGCAACTAGTGCCGTGATGGAGCAAGGCCACTGCTTGCTGTGGGCTTGGTGCCTCCCGAGGGAAGGGCTGTTCAGTGTGCAAGTCCTACCCTGGCTTAACAGAAGCTTGTGGCAAATCCCCCTGTGAACACTCTCACATTGATTTGGCAGCTGCTAAATTTGGGAATAAATCCACTTTCCTTGGCAGCAATAGTAAATCAGATGAGGCATGTCCAGCGAGGGTTTGGAGTCCACTGCAAAATGCACTCAGTCTGTGTGTGGCTCAGAGCTTGGCTGTGCTGAAGAGGAGCTGGTGCTAAAGCTCTCTGGAACAAACCTCTGAGTTGAAATCCTGTCCTGGGTGAGATCCCAGGAGTCTGTTAGTGCTTTTTGGGATCTTCATCACTCTGCAAGCCTCTGATAGTGGTGCTAAGTGCCCCTTCTCCCTCTGTATCAACAAAGAGCTGATAAGCCAAGGGGGTTGTGTAGTAGCCAGACAGCCTGGAGAGGCTGTACAACGAAGGCCACTTAGAATCATTGATCCTCCCTTTGGATGCCACACAAGAGCGGATGCCATTTGCAAACTGAGCCTCAGCTCCTCATGTGTTGGGTGGCTGGCAGGTCCGTGGCTGCTGGGACCATTTGGAGCCTGTGTCCACATCCACCCTGCCATAAAACTGCCCTGGCCAAGCAGAGGTGGTTCTGCCTGTAAGTTTTGTTCTTGGTAATGCAGGATTTTTGTGGTAGCTGGTAAATGTCAGCCCTCACTACAAACTATACCATCTCGTGGGTGTGTTTCTCCTCGCGTACAAACCTGTTGGAGGCTCCCGGTGTCTCACGGAGTGTCTGGGCGGAGAATCAGGCCCATATGTGTGTGTATATATGTGTATGTCCCTGTGCTCTTCCTCCTGCAGGTGACAGGAGAGTGGAGGGTGTGGGTTTTAATCCGTGTGTGTGTGTGTGGGCAGCTCTGCCGAGGCTGTTTGTCAGCTGGAATCCCAGCACAGGGCTCTGCGGCATCAGCCGCGGCTTCCTCTTTGCCTTCTGTCACGTTTGGAAGGAGGGAAGATGTAGCTGAGTCTTGCAATAGTAGGTCAAAACATACTGCAGCACTAAAGATCAGAGCAAAAGCTTTCTTGTACAAACACATGGGTTTATTCATCCTGTTATTTTCTTTATCAAATGCTTACTTGCCTTTACAGAGCAGCTTTGAGCCCCAGGGAAAGCAAGCGTCTTGCTGGAAGGGAAGCCGGGCTAGTGACTGGAGTGGGTGACAGTTGTGGAAAATGGACAATCTGGAGTTTTATTCCCGATTCTGCTCTGGCTCCTGTCCTCCAGATCTCTGTGAAGAGCTTAAGAAATGAGGAGCAGGGGCTGTCACCACATGTGTATGCGACACACGGTGTGGTGGCACCCCCAGAGCACCCTGGGCACAGCAAGAAATGCCAGTCATGACTGCAGCTGTTTGTGGGTGGGTGGCAGTCTGGTTAGGGTACATCCTGGTTAGGGGGCTGGAATGAGCTCTTTTATCCAGACAAAGCTCTGCCTCAGATTCTTCAACGTCCAGACGTGCAGACAGCTTATTTTTAAGGTCTCATTTGAAAGATGTCAGCTCCCCCTCCCTGCTCTTCCCCAGGCAGCGAGAGCAGAAAACTAAATTTATCTGCATTGGGACAGAGAGAGCTGGAGTAAACCAGCCAGGCGCTGCTCCAGATCTGCTGGGTGGAACAACTGGCACAGAGCTGTCTGTCTGTCCGAGGCAGAGATGCTCGGGTGCTGCTGATCCTGGGTGTGACATCCACACAGCATTTCCCATTCCAGCCCTGGGCTTGCAGAATTTGCTGGAAAGTTTGCCTTGTTGGGGGTGGCATTTTGTCAGTCTCTGGGTTAATTTTTCTTTTCGTATGAGAGGCAAAGCAGTCCCTCTGCTTTTTGAGGAGACAAGTGAGAAGCTACAATCCTTGCCTTCCTTCCCAAGACCTTGCAAGGACCCTGGGGTGGAAATGATGCTGGAGAAGAGATGAAGCACAGCCTACAAAAATAATTTCAATTTGAGGGTAGCTGCCTTTTTGGGGTCGTTATTGATTGGTGGAAGGGAACACAGGGCAGATGTTTGCGTGTGTGCTACACACTGCTGTGTGCCTGAGGCAGAGAAAAGACTCTTCAGTGTATCCCTTCCTGGGGCTGTCTGGGGCATGGGCAGGTGGGGGAATCAGTGGGATCAGTTTTTTCTTTTCACCTCCTAAAAACTGGAGCATCCTTCTCTGTCAGGCTGCTGCTAATGAGTTAGTTAAACAGCATCTCCTTACTGGAAGCTCTTTTCAGTCCAATTAAGATCTTGCAACATGTCAGTTGTGACAATAAAAGTGAATTAAGGCTCATTTCTCCTTTTTTTACGATGTTTATTAGTAGATGGGAATGCTCGTTTAGAGGAGCTAATCACGGTTATTTATTTGTCAGTGCTACCAAGAAGCCCCTGTGCAGGCTAAAGGCCCAGCGCCAGATGCTGTGTGTGCTCATGGAAGGAGTGGGAGCCCGCCCTGGAGAACGGATTATCACGCTGGAAAAGCCCAGGTGAGGTAAGGAGACTCCCATGGCCATGCAGCTGCAGCTGCAGGATGTGCTGCTGCTTGGAGGTGCTGTGAAAGCCACTGAAGTCAAAGAAGGCAAGAGAAGAGTTCATCTGCCCTCTCAAGCTGTTTTGATTCCATGGCTTGGCCAAGACTTAAAGCAAGCTCTTCCAGGGGATGGGCTGCTTGTCAAGGTGCTTTCCAGAACATCTAACAGGGAAAAGGAGTTATTTTGTTGCCTTGAGGAACCCAGGCAGAAGGATGCAATAGAAAAGGCCTGTGGGAAGGTTCGGTGCATCTGCTTGTTTTCAACGGGAGTTTGGTTTCTGCTTCTCAAAACCATTTAATTCCATCCTTAACTGATCAGCTTGAAAGATCCAGCAATCAAGAGCAGAAATCTGAGGACCTGGAGGCATGGAAGGCTGAGAAGCTGGCCAGGAAGGAGAAAGCCAAACTGGTAATCATCCCCTGCTGTCTGCCCTGCAGAGAGCCAAGAACAGAGCTGACCCTCCATGCCTCTCCCTGTGAGGAAGACTCCGGGCCATTGCTGGAGGAAGGAGTAAGGGTCTGACACCCCTTGCCCTGAGGTTTGGTGGGGCCCTGTGGGGAGGAGCTGCCATGAGCAGAATTTACTGAGGGTAAAGGGGAAACACTGAGGATGGAGAGACACATTGTCCTGTGGGTCGCAGCAGTCCCATGCTGGGATCAGTTGTCACCGAGCTGTTGGCTGCTGGGCTCTGTCCCTACCCTGTGTTTTGGGCCTCCAGGTGCCTGTCTTTGAGCCTGAGTTGTGGGCTCCTTCATCAGGACTTTTGGCTTTGTGCTGGTGATGCTCATGAGTGTCATCCAGACTCTGGGTCCATCCTTGACTCCAGCTCTGCACAGACACAGGTTGGGGTTATGAAGGTTGTTGTGTAGAGGACAGAAAGTGGGGGCTTTGAAGATCACACTGGAGGTGAAGAACGGAGAAAACTGAGGAGATGACTGGCTCCCAGCTCCTTTGGCAGGACGGCCAGGCTGGGGTGAGCCAGCAGCAGCCAGCCCATGTTGGGGACTGAGACCTCCAGGCTGGGCTCCTGCTGGTGGCCACACCAGTACAACACCCTGGGACTCTTCTCTGTCCATGAACCCACCGTGCTGTATCACAGCCGCCTGAGTCTCTGTCTGGATCAGTGTAAAACATCATTCTTCTTCCTTCAGTCCTGCAGCTGTTGATGTTTTGAAGTTAAGAAAACATTGAAATGATTAAAAAAAAAAAAAATACCCAGGCTTGGTTTATCAAGGGAACTTCTAATGAGCAGAAGGGGAGGGGGAACAGACACAGGAAGGGCAGCAGAGACTTTAACAGCCTGGCAGAGCACTTGTCATCCTGACAACGCAGTTAAGTTTCAAACTGGGCTCGCTCCTGACGTTTGCCTGAAGGTATATTTAACTAGTGCGGGAGATGCTGGAGCACAAGTGTGCACCTTTGAGCCCAAGGAAGCCTCCATGTGGGTTAGGGAAGGGGGGAGACGGGCTCCAAATGGAAAATGTGCCTCCTTTCCTCCCTCCCTGTCTGTGCGTAGCCAGACTGCAGGGCTGTGCTCGCAGCTTGGTGAGAGAGGATGCTAATGAAGCGTGAACCGGCTGCGCTCAGTGGCAGCTCCGTGTATCTGCCACCAGCCCACCTCTTCCTTTCATTCCTTCTGAATTTGCATGTTGCGTTTGACGAATGGAAATGTGGGCTTCGCTTTGAAGCGGGAGGGATGACAAACAAACAGATAGGATGGGAGCTCAAACTCTGCTTTCCCAGGGCAGGGCTAAATTGTCAGAGGATGCACAAGGCTTCTGGGAGAGATTTGCAGCTTTTGGGACTGGGTTTTGCAGGTTCAGTGGGGTGCAAAGGCAGGGTGGCTCCGTGCTCTGCCCAGAAATCTTTTCTGTGTTTTTTTTGTTGGGTTGTTTTGTTTTTTTTTTTCCAGCCCTGACTTTGAGTGCTTTGTGCTCCAGGGCTGCTGCTCCTGTGTATGGAGTCTGAAGCTCCCAACCCTTCACTCCCAAGAGACACCTCCCACCTCCCTTAAACCCCTTTCAGCTCTCCCTGCTGCAGCAGAACCTGCTCCATCTCTCCTGTCCAGGTACCCCTGCTCTTCTTCCCCACAGCCCCTGGCACTCACCTCCCTTTTATTCCTCAGCTTTCACTGTTTCAGTCAGGTCTTTGCTCACTTTCTGTCCCCATACCCTGTGCTGTGGGATTTTAGGCACCAAGATATGACCAGTGTGCCCAGAAATCCCAGGATGGTGCCTACAGACCACAGGCTTGTGTTGAATTCACATTGCATGCACTTGGGAATAGAAAGCCTCCTCTCCCAAAACTCTCCAGCTACCAAAATCACAGAACTGATAATGTTAGAAAAGAGCTCTAAGATCATTGAGTCCAGCTGTTAATGCAGTACTGCCGTGTTCACCACTAAATCATGTCCCCACAATAGTCCAGGCAGCCCCAGGAGAGCAGGATGCTTTATGTCTGGTGCTGTGTTGTGAGAAGTTTCTGTGGCAGAGCTTAAGGCTGATTCCTTGACATCAGATGCTGCTGAAAAGAGACGTGATTGGGGTTTTGTGTGGTTTTTGTTTGTTTGTTTGTTTGTTTTTGTTATTATTTTATAGTGAGTGACTTCTTGGCATTTTTGAGAAGCAAACTCCCAGCTAGGAGGCAGAACAAGCTGGGCATGTGAAATGGGAGTAATGCAATGAGCCAGAGCACCTGCTGCCTTGGAGGGTCTGAACTGTCCCCTTGTTGCTTTCATCACATCCCCAGGCATCTCATGGCACCTCACCTGCCTGCAGAGAAACATCTGGAAGGGTGCAAATGCCAATCTGTGTTTTTACTGGCCCTGCAGAACAAAGCCAGTTCCAGCAGCAGTGACAGCAGGAGGAGATGGAAATGGAGTGTTAGACACTGGAGTACCTGGGATCCTTGCCTGACAATAGGTGTCTGCAGCAGTATGGGAACAGGCTAAAATCAGGGATGTTAGTCCATGCTCTCACTTGCAGCTGTGTGGTTTTATCTTCCTTTCTAGATTGGCTTTAAGATGTAGGAAAGTGTCGAGATCCTTCCCACAGGAGAGATTTGCTGAGGTTCCTTAGCTGGTACAAATCAATCAAGCTCTAACTCACAAAGCACCCTATGGGGACGCAACTTCGATAGGAACCTTCCCTCTGAAGTTTGATGTGATTTCCTTTTCTGCCAGCCACATATTTTCCTCTTTTCATCGCAAAAATAAAAGCTGTGAGAAAATCTGGCCAAGCCCCGGAGCTGGTCCCCACCTCCCTTGTCCCAGCCTTCGTGCCCTCCATCAGAAAACTGTGAGTCATCACCTCTTGGCTCCACCAGCTTTGTAATGTGGTTTGTTTTTTTTTTTTCCTCCTCCTCATTCCCCCATCCCAGCTGAGGTGAAGAAGCGAGAAAGCAAATAGGAATAAATACCTCCAGCCATAAAAGTGAAATAAATCAATATCTCTTCTCTGAAGCCAGAGATGCTTAATAGGCAAGGATCACTGCCAGATTGTAAAAAATGTGTTTAGTGTGCAGCTGGGGCAAGTTTAACCCTTGGACATAAACAGCTGAGCGGCTTCTCACATCTTTGAATTAAATAACTTTAACTGCACAGGGCTGTGATTAATAGAGGTGCCTCTGCTTGGGATGCACCAGGTATTTGGTGCCTGAGGATTGTCTGGGAGGTTGGCAGGGAGAAGTTGTTGCCAGGTCACCTCTGCAGGCCCAGAGATGCTTTTTTTTGTGAAGGTAGAGCTCTAGTTGTGGGTAAGGGAGCTCCTGGGCACCGGACTGAGCTGGTGGGGCTTCAGCTGCCTTTCCCAGGAATTAAGGACTCTTCTGTCTCTCCATCCTGCCTTTCTGTGGTGGGAAAGCAGAGGAGCAAAGCTCAAATGAGTCAGTGATAGGATATGAGGGAGTGGCATGAACCTGTGCCAGGGGAGGTCTAGGCTGGGCATTAGGAAAAGGCTCTTTCTCCCAGAGGGTGGTTGGGTACTGGAACAGGCTCCACATGGGAGTGATCAGGGCAACAAGCTTGACAAAGGGAAAGTGTTAGTCCTGCTGTTAGTCCAGCTGGTTTGGTGAGACCACCTCAGGAATAACAGAGGTACTCTGGCCAATCTTTCTGAAGACCAATGAAGCCAAATGGGAACAGGGTATAAAAAGCCCTGCACAGAAATTCATAGGCATGAACATGCCAGCACACAGAGTTTGACTTCACAAAATCAAGGCTGAGAGGTGATGCACTTCAGGAGAAGAACTATTTAGAGATGTTGGCACCAGGACAGCTATTTATGGGCTGTCCATGAGGTTGGGAGATTGGTGACAAGCCAAACGGTACAAATCCCTTCCAGCAGTCATGGAACAGGGAAGCACTGGGACTGATTTAAAGTGAAGTTGAGCAGGAGTGATTATGTGATATAACTGCAGCACTGCTCAGAGGCTGGATGCAGGGATGTGGCATTTCTTACTACTCTTATTTACCATGCTCTGTGTGCCTTTTGTTGGGGCTTGGAGCTCAAAGATAGCCAAGGTATTTCAGAAGAGGATTAGGGTCAGTTTTCCACAAAGCCTTCTTGCACCTCTATAAGCCATTTGTTCTCCTGGCACAGTCTCACACTCACTTAAGTGCTGCCTGGCACACACATGTTTTCCTGACCTAGAGCAGAAGCCTTTTGCTGTGGAGACCCACATGATGGAAATTCACTTGGTGTTCAGCAACTGGGCATCTGGCACAACTCTCAAAATCAGCTTGTTTCTGTGCAAAAGGAAGGCAGGTTGTAGTGGGCAAGGTGATCCTGGAAGCACTTGTATTTGTTTTGATTTTTTTTTTTCCTCACAAGTAGAGGAAATTCTATCTCTTGCTAGCATAGCCTCTGCTTGCCACAGGTTTGGGAGTTGTTAAAGTAGCAGTGGGACAGGCTATTCCAAGTTGACCCACTTTTGCTGTTCTCCAATGGAGAGTATTGCCCTTAGCTGGGACAGAACAAACGTGTTGAGGTTGTGGTTTGCATAAAGTGGGCAGGATTTGCCCCATCACTTTTACCAGGCATTCTTTATGGGCAGGAGGGGAGAAACCTGGGTCTTCGGCCAAAAAAAGGGCTTTTACTGACTCTTGATATGTTGCCTCTTACCTTGCTCTCAGGCCTGTCAGTGGCTCCTACTCCTCTCTGCCAGATTTGAGTTTGGACTTGGAAGTCCTTGTAGTCAGAGCAGGGGGTGTCAGTGGTAGTTCTCCACACCTAAATCCACTTGAAATAATTAGGGCTGGGAAAGGCTTTTCATATCAAGTTCAACCATTAACCCAGCACCGCAACTTCTTGTTCTTGGTCTCTTGATCCCCTCAAACAGGAAGAAAGGAGGGACAGCATTGCCTGAGTGAGGTCTGTAAGAGTCCACTGCCTCCAGGACTCCAAGTGTTTTGGGTGAGGTGTTGTCCCATGGGCACCAAAGATCTGTGTGGCTTTGAGTGTGTCATTCCTTCCTTGCCCCTTCCTCCACCTCCAAACGTGGGAGAAAATCCTCTTGTTGGTGCCTGCAGAGCTGTCTGTGAGAGTCCAGCCACGGAAGAGCTGGTGGATTGCTTT